TGTGCTTGCTCGTGCCGACGTGTGCAGCGCCGCCGCCGCCCTGGACGGAGCGGCGAGTGTGCGCACCGACGACGCGAGCAGCCGCAGAGATGGACGCGACATGGCGGAAGCGCAGCACCGATGATGCCTGTTGCAGCGAAGAACGGTGGAGGCCGAGTTGGAAGATGGAGCTGGGATGTGGAGAGGACCCTTTTGCATCGACTCAGCCGGACGCTCGGAAGTCGGGCCCTGAGTGGCAGCCTTCGGTGGCAGCCGTCGATGGCAGCCGTCGATGGCGTGATTGGCCGGGCGGATTTCGGCACATTTTCCCCCCTCTCCACCTTCTCATGCCGGGCACTTTTTTTTTGGGCGCGCTTCGCACCGGCTTTGCAACCGAAGCCAACTGGACGCCAACTGGACGTGCACGCCATTGCCCTGACTCGCACACACCAACGACATCCCTTGCTCCTGCCATCATTCCTCCTCACTCATCCGTGCTTCACTCAAGATGGTTCAGTGAGTTGCCTCATCCCACTTACGATCTGTGGCTTGTAGCGGGCTTGGAGCGAGCAATTTGGCTGACGTTGGCGTTTTGCATACAGTGCTGATGCGGCTGCGTTGCCGTCGTACGTGCAGAGCAAGGCCGACTTTTACGACCACCTCGAGTCGTCGCTGTTGGGGCTCGTGGATGCGTCCACGGACTGGGTTTCGTCGCTCTCCAATGCGGCCTCGCTGATCTATGCGTCGATGAACCGGTTCCATGCGTGGGAGGCCAAGCGCATCAACTGGGCTGGCTTCTACCTGCTCTCGCCGCTCATGCCGTCGGAGCTCGCAGCACGCCGCCCGCGCAAGCAACCCACGCTTCTGCTTGGACCGTTCAACGGCCTGCCTGCGTGTCAGCTCATCCACTCTGTTCCAGGTCGCGGCGTGTGTGCAGATGCCTCCGCACTGCTGCCTCCTCGCGTGGTCAGGGTCGATGATACAGAGGCCTATCCCGGACATATCGCTTGCGACTCGCTCAGCAGGTCCGAAATCGTCGTGCCCCTCGTCATCCCCCGCTCCCGCCTCGCTGCACCCCATCGACAGGCACTCGAACAACAGTCACCCATGAACAACGCGCATCCACAGACCGCAGACGACAAGTCCTGGGCCGGAAGAGGCAACGACGAAAATGTCATCATCGGCGTGCTCGACATCGACTGCGAATCGCTCAACGGCTTCGACGCAGAGGACGAAGCGAGGCTCAACAAGATCGCCCACCTCCTCGTCGAGCGGTCCGCCTGGTAGACATCCGGCGCCTTTCGAGCTTACTTGTACACCATACCCTATAGACCTGCTACGAATGTAATTACCGGAGATGCCTGCAAGGGAGGAGGAGATGTGATATCCCTTGGTAACCAGCCTCGCACCATAATCGCCGCCTTATGCAGGCGGGCTGTGAGCGAAAGTCTGTGTCCAAACCTATTCAGCAAACCTATTCAGGCCGTGTGCCCGTGGTGCCCGTGGCGTTGGTGGTGGCGCCAAACGATCGCACGGTCCGCGCTCCTGACGTGGTTGACTGTTCGAATCGAAAACAAAGTCAGCGCTTGCACTCGTCCAACCACGCTGGCCTCCTCTCGTACTTACGCCGCCGACGGTGCTTTGCGCCCCGGTGTCCTTGCCGTCCTCGACGTTCACCCTGGATCCGCCCGAGCTTCCGTCACCGGAGCCCGACTCGCCCTCGAGATCCTCCCACGGATCCGTCTCTCCACCAGCACCTGCTCCGACCGCCACCACCGCCGCGGCACGACTCGTTGGCCTTGTGGGCCTCGAGGCGTTGGAAGAGGCATCCTCGCCCGTGAGACTTCCGCCCACATCGGTATCTTCCTCGGTCTCCTCGTCGAGCCGGTCGAGCACCCTGCGCGAGAGCTGGATCTCGGACAGCTCCTCGGGCGAGATGGGCGAGGTGGGATCCACAATGTCCATCAGCCCTTCACCGACCATGACAGTGCCGGCACTGGTACCCACTCCAGTCGAACCGCCCATGCGCCTCGCCTCGAGCACATCGCGCATGCGCGACTGGCGGATCGCCTCGGCCAGATCGGCCGCATCCTTGGCCTCGAGGCTCTCGAGCGAACGCAGCCTCATCTCTTCTTGGACGTCGTCGTCAGCGCCCAGTCGTATATCCTCCTCGTCAAACTCCTCGGTCTTGATGCGTGGCAGATCGTACTCGCGCTTGAAGCGTCGGCGCGTCTCGGTCTCGGTCTCGGTCTCGTCTTCGTCGGATCGCAGCTCGTCGCGGCGACCGAAGCGTCTCTCGAACGACGTCGACTCTTCACCGGACGGCGTGTCCATCTCGGCCTTGCCGCTCGTGTCGCCGTTGTCGTCATCGTCATCGCCTCCGCCGCGACGACGCGCGCCGCCGTATCGCGAGGGCTTGGTCGGCTGGAAGTGCTCTTCGGTGTCGAGCGAGACGGGCTCGACGGTCATGGAGCTGGTGTAGATGGCGGCGACGGCCCAGAGCGTGAGCGCCGTGGCCATCTCGAAGCCGAGGAAGAGCGTGGTGAAGGTGAAAAAGGACAGCAGAGGAAAGTGGTACATGAAGAAGCGCAGACCGGTGAGGTGGGCGTCGAAGCGCAGGCTGGCGCTGTACGTCTGCAGCTCTCCGCGGCTCGAGTGCGATCCGACGGCGATGGGCACCACCTTTCCGTTGCCTGGCAGCGTGTGGATGCCGGCGAGCGTGTTGTGGTTGCCGCCGTACATCCAGAACATTTCGGCATCCGCCCTGCCGACGCTGAGCTGGCCATGGGTGACCTTGCGATCGGCGAGCGGATCGGGCGGGGTAGACGATAGCGGTGGGGCGTACGACGATGGACGTAGCACGGCTCGACGAAGCAGCGGGATGCGGAGCAACTGCGAGTTGACTGGAGCGGACGGTGAGGGTGCATTGCGCGACACGAGCTGCGAAAGCGACGAGACGGCACGAATGGGGGCTAAGGAAAATGTGAGTAGCGTGGGCTTGGACACATGGAAGACGGAGCGATCCGCCTTGCTCTTGAGGTCGAGGTCGACCATGAAGTTGCCAAGATCGAGGTTGGCCGGGTTGAGGGGCACCGAGAGTTCGAGAGTAACGTCGTAGGCCTGATCTTGTGCGAAGAATTCGCCGGTGATGTCGGTGGAAGGCTTGGAGGAGGAGGAGGAGACGACAGGCTCGCGCAGCTGGCTGGCGGAAGTGGGCGTGGCAAAGTCGAGGTGAGCAAAGGGAGGACGATTATGGCCATACTGGAGCCAGATCTCCTTTCGCAGACCGACGTCGGGCACCCAAGCGCGATAGAAGCCGATGTAGCTAACGATCGCAGCTCCGAGAGCGAACCAAAAGATGGTTGCGAGCACACCGAGGCGCACGACGATGCGGTGGGTCTTGGGCGAGAGGATGATATCGCGCGTTGCTCTAAGCAGCTGCGAGACAGGGGCCAGCAGAAGTCGATCGACGAGGAGGGAAGGCCACTGCTGGATGGGAGGCAGCGAAGCGATCCAGTTGGCGAGATCGACGAGCGGTGGCAGCAGTGGCGGCTCGGGCACGGGCTGCGATGTCCACATGGGCGTGCTGGCCGAGTAGGTGCGCGGTGGATGCTGCGGAGCGCCTTGCTGCTGTTGTTGCTGTTGTTGCTGTTGTTGCTGTTGCTGCTGTTGCTGGTACTGACGCCATTGCTGTTCTTGCTGCTGTTGCTGCTGGTGCGAAGAGATGCGTTGATAGCGGGTATTGAGGTCGGACGAAGTCCTGCGCCCCTGCGCTGGGTTGGAGTACGACATGCTGGAAGAGGGGTATATCTGGCGGAGTTGGGTATCGCAGACAAGGAGCGACTCAGCCCGGTGGTGACTGGTGGAGAGGAAGCAAAGTCGAAGGCGATGGCTATCGGCTGCTTTTGTTGGTCGTTGTTGGGCCTCCTTGCAGCGACTACTCTGGCTCGCTCAGAGGGCTCAGCTGCGCACGGCCGAGCGTGAAACCGACGCGTCGAAAAGCTGCAGTCGAAGCCGACTTCTCCACATTTCACGCTTCACACTTTTGGCCGCAAAACTATTTGTTGGGGGATTGTCGACCTCACATTATAAATCGTGGACCCTCGCAAGTGTTGGTCTCTGAGCAACTCCGCCATGCAAAGGCACAGGGTCCCGCCGCTGCCCACCCCTGTCAGTGGTGTTCCATCATCGCTTGCTCACGATGCTAGCCTATGCGGCTGCATCTTACGCCGCCTTGAACTATGCCTTCCTCAGCGCTCTGTCAGCGCCGTACCCGGCCAAGGACCCTGCGTCGTACGTCAACACGCTCATCGGCACGCTAGGCGGCGGACACGTCTTCGCCGGACCCTCGACGCCCTTTGGCAGCATCAAGCCCGGCCTGGATTCGGACGTCGGCAACAACCAGGCGGGGTTCGTCTCGGATGCTGGCGCGGCCATCTTTGGCATCAGCGCGCTTCACGATGATGGCACGGGCGGTAGACCCTCGTTGGGCATGTCGTCGCTCCTGCCGCAGTACTGCCAGCTCGACACGCACGAGGAGGACTCCGGGTGCAAGTGGACACGCAACGCCCGCAGGACGCACCTCGCGGGGCCGCAGAGCTTCAGCAGTGCACCCGGCGAGTTTCATGCTTCGCTCGAATCGTTGATCGAGGTCAGCTTTGCGGCGACGGATCATGCGGCAGTCTATCAGTTTGACTACAGCAAGACGCTCGAGCGTGGATCGTGGGTGGTGGACCAGCGTAAAGCAGAGCGAGAGAGGCGCGCGAATAATATGGAGCCCGTGCTGATGTTCGACTACATGACGGATCTTTCGAACAGTGGTGGGGGCACGCCCAACTCGCTCCGCATCGAGACGGTCGATCTGCCGTCCACGCAGGGGGGAAAGGCGCAAGCGATAACACGCATTCGTTCGAGCGCAACCTTTTCGCCCTCTTTCGGTGTGGGCAACTTCCAGGTGTATGCGTGCCTCGACGTGCCGCTGGTGCGATCGTCGGGCGTGTACCAATCGACAGTCTCCACGCCAGGTGCTACCGAGCTTACCGACATCTACGACGAAGCGGGTGTGATCCTCACGCTCGACCGGGATGCGCTTGCTGCTGCGCCGTACGCTGGCGTGCTACCCGTCCGCATGGGCATCAGCTGGGTCTCCACCGATTCCGCCTGCGCCTTTGCCTTCGATGAGATCCCAGCCTTCCCTTCGACGCGCTCGCTCACCGCTGTCGCCGCACAGACGCGCACCAAGTGGAACCGGCTGCTGAGCGATACGCTTTCGGTCTCGCACGACGGCGTGAGCGACGACGACCTCACGCTCTTCTACTCGTCCCTCTACCGCTCCTTCCTCTCGCCCAACAACGTCACCGCCGACAATCCGCGCTTTAGCACAACCAAGCCGTCGTTCGACTCGCTCTACTGCATCTGGGACAGTGCACGCACCATCCATCCCCTCTGGACGCTGCTCGCACCCAAGGCACAGGCCGACGTGCTCCAGGCGATCGTCGAGATTCAAAGGCACGAAGGCTGGCTGCCCGACTGCAGGATGTCGACGAGCAAGGGGTATACGCAGGGCGGGAGCAATGCAGAGATGATGCTGAGCGACTCGTATGTCAAAGGTATCCTTGGCGACGACGTGCAGTTTTGGCAGGATGCGCTCCAGGCCATGCTCAAGGATGCACAGGTCGAGCCTGCCTCGTGGGGACTCGTGGGCAGGGGAGGCATTGCAGCCCGTGCCAAGCTCGGCTATGTACCGCGCGGCGAGTGGGGATCTCCAAGTGCTACAGGCGCAACTCCGGGTCGAACGGCTTCAAGAACAATAGAGTATGCGTACAACGACTTTAGCATCGCGCTCGTCTCTGCCGGGTTGAAACGTAGGGATCTGTACGACACGTATACGCGGCTGTCGAACGACACCTTCAACCTGTGGAATACGAGCATAGTGTCGGATGGCTTTTCGGGCTTCCTGCAGGCGCGCGAGGAGGACGGTACTTGGGCGTACCAGGATCCACGTCGCTGTTCGCCCGCACTCGAACCGATGGGGTGCTTCTTGGACCGTGGCGAGGGGCATGATTTCTACGAGGCGAGTAGTTGGCAGTACTCTCTCTTCGCGCCGCACGACATGGCGACCGTCGTATCGCTCATGGGTGGACACGAACGGTACATCGAGCGATACAACCACATGTGGGCGTCCGGCTATGCGGATATCGGCGACGAGCCCGGATTCCTCGCCGCCTACTCGGCCAACTTTGCACGCGGCGGATACAGACATACGGTAGACACAGTGATAGGGCTAGTGCGCGCGCAGTTCAACACGTCCACCGCAGGGTTACCCGGCAATGACGATGTGGGCGCCATGGGGAGCTTGGTCGTATGGACCTATCTCGGCTTCTTCCCCGTTGCGGGGACGGGGGTGTATTTGCTAGGAACGCCACTGCTGAGTGCGTATGCTGTCACCAACGACATCACGGGCAAGACGTTCAGGCTGAAAACCAAGGGCTTTGACGCAGCAAGGCGAAACAAATACATCGTCAGCGCAACGCTGGACGGCAAGCCGTACACCAAAAGCTGGCTGTGTCACACCGTGTTTGCCCAGGGCGCCACACTCGAGCTCACGCTAGGCGACACTCCAAGCCCCACATTCGCGACCGCAGATGGGGATCTGCCACCCAGCCTGTCCACCGGTGGATACGCGTACGACTCGAACCCTCCTGGCTGCTGAACCTCCCCCCAGCCCAACAGATACTGCTTAGAAACGCGAAGGGCATGTGTTGAAAAAATTGCAAAGCAAGCGTGTGTGTGAGCGACTAGGACGATTCGGAGCCCGAGGAGGCCGCGTCGTTCTTGTCGTTCTTGGTGTCGTTTATGAGGCCGAGGTCCATGATGGAGGAGGTGGCACGGACCTCGCCCTTTTCGCGTGCGGCGTGTGCGTCCTTTGCCTGGCGTGCGATCCAGGTATCCTTGATCTCCTTTGCGCGCGCGATCTCCTTGGTATGGTGCAGACACTCGAGGTAGTCCTCCTTGGCGCCGATGCAGTCCGACGGCGTATCCGCCTGCACGTAGCACTTTTGGAACTCCTGCCAGAACGCAAAGCAGCGCGGCCTACCGCCCTTGAAGCTGAATCCAGACTGTAGTCCAACGTCACAGAGTGCACATGTTCCACGTCCGTAGAGAGCAAGATCAGGTTCGGGTGGGTCAGCAATCGAAGCGCAAATGGACGTGCAAACGGGAGCACTTACGGCCATTCTGTGTGTATGATGTGTCGAACGGTTGCACGACTGTAGAGGATGCGGTGGTGCAGAGGACCGTCAGGCGGTGTGTTGCGGTTGTGTCGACGGTGGAGGTGACCAACGGTGGAGTGGAAGCAGATGGTGGTGAAGGAGGGCAGCGACGTGTTGCACGTCCACCTTGAATTCGCAGCGGCGCGCTTCGGATCCGTCGCTGCGATCACGATTTGGCACTGTTACACTTCGACTGCTCTCACAAATTGAATTCATCTCGAAATCTTCGCACGGGCCTCTCCACCCAACCACCTCCTTCTCGCGCCAATTGCACGCCAGACGCACACATGAACTCCGTCGATGGCAACATCATTTGTCATTCCCACACCCTATGAGGCGGTCTGGACCGCAACTAGGGCTGCATGAAGGGTGCCATGTAGTACTTTTCGTAGCCGTGCTCCTTGCCCGCCTGGTCGATCTGCTTCAGCTCGTCCTCGTCGAGGTGGAGCTGGGCGTCGTTGTTCGAGTCGAGCTGGTCGAGCAGCTCGTTGGCGCGCGACTCCTTGCTGGTCGTGGTAGTAATGATGCCCTCCGACCGCTGGAGCGCCCAGCGGAGCAGCACAGCTGCGGTGGTGCGCTGGTCGTTCTTGGCCGCGATGGCAGTGAGCGCCTTGTGGAGCGGACCATCCTCGGGGAGCGTCGACTTGTAGAACGGTGCCAGCGCGGCGTAGGTCATCGTAACAATGCCGTGCTTCTTCTGGAGCGCAAGCAGCTTTGTGTACTCTGCGTTTGCGTAGAGGTAGGGGTGGAACTCGATCTGGTTGATGTCCGGAACGCTGAGGCCGGCGTCGAGCAGCTGCTGGATGTCCGAGGCGAGCCAGTTGCTCACGCCGATGCTCTTGGTCAGCCCGGCAGCCTTGATCTTCTCGAGCTGCCTCCACGCATCCACGTTGCTCGGCAGACCGTCCTTGCCGCGCGGCGGGAAGTGGAGCAGGTACGAGTCGAGGTAGTCCACCTGCAGCTTGCGCATCTCCTCCTTGACTGCCGACTGCAGATCCTTCATGCCGTCCTTGCCCACCTTCGTGAGCACGTAGATGTCTTCGCGCTTGAGCCCGGACGACTTGAGGAACGCCTGGATGCCCTCACCTGCGGATTCCTCGTTGGCGTACACCTCGGCACCGTCGACGAAGCGGAAGCCGGCATTGAGCGCCATGGTCACCTGCTTGGCAGCCGCAGACTGGTACAGCGCTGTGCCCGTACCAAAGGCGAGGCGTGGCAGCTCGACGCCCGAAGGAAGACGCACAGTGGGGATGGGCATGGTCGAAATTGCTGGAAATGGCTAGCAGAAAGGGTAAGACGGAGTGGTTGGTGGTGGGCAAGCGATGTAGCGCTGGCCAGTGCGGGGTCTTTATTACATTGTGGGGGGGTCAGGCTCACTGTGTGCCGGCGGGACGAACGTCGATGTTGGCCGTCTGCCACTGCGCGCTGCCCCACCGATGCCGACACAGGAGCAATGTGGCGTCATGCCTCACCGCGGAGATAGCCCGTCTGACCACGGTGGGCCACGGCAACCTCGATGGCCGGCAATGCAACGTCCACTCACCCCGATTTCGCTCGGATCGGTCATGGCCTAACGGCTGTCAGCGTGACTCAGCCACTCCACCCAACATTTTCGGCGCGCGAAGTCTTGCAGACCAACACCTCTGCGGCGGCTCAGCTCGACCAGACCCTTGGAAAGCGACCTAATCGCCGGTCCTCGACATCCGTGGCACTGCGCATCCTCCACACCACCAGCATCCACCTGCGCCACCATCCGCTTCACAACCATGTCGGGACAGACACTCAACGATCTGATCGCGACGGTCTTCTTGCGCGCGTCGGACCCGCCTCCACCGCCTCCGCCTCAGCAGTTCGACACGCGCGCACCCGAGACTGCTGCCTCGTCGTCGTCAGCAGCCGCACAGGACCCGGCCCAGCAGACGCTGTCGCTGCTCTCTCGCGCGCAGCAGCTCTCCGACTCGGTGGGCGTCGTGTCGTCGAACGATGCGCTGCGCGATATCTCCACCTCGTCGCTGCGCACGCTCTTCCTGCCCTCGCTCGAGGCGGAGCTGCACCAGGCCGTCCGCACGGGCACCGACCACGCTTCGCGCAAGCGTCGTCTTGCGCAGAGCCAGACTGCCGCAGCCAAGTTCCTGAACAGGACGATTGCGCTGGGCGTGGTACCGCCCAGCACCAAGCAGTTGCTCGGCTGGACGTTGGGCGGTGTGCACCCCGCAGAGTTGGTGGGCATGGGGGTTGATGTGGCCGCGTTGGGGGGTGGGAGTGCGCCGCATGTGAGGGAAGTCAAGATTGCAGTGTTTAAGCTCGAGCGCGCACTCAAGCAGAATCTCGACGAGTTCCGACAAGCTTACCGCTCCAAAACTGCGCCAGATAGGGTTCCGGGCGATGTGTTTTATGATCTCGTCTTTCCTGTGGCACGTGCGGAGGATGACGATGAAGACGACGATGCGGATAACGAGACGAGCGCTACAACTGCGCCCGGAGGCATCGGTTCGGTACGACAGTACTTGCTTGCACTGCTCAATCTGCACGTGCTACGGGCTGCCCAGCTCGTCACTGCAGCAAGCCAGGAGCTCGAGCTGCTTCGAAACATGCCTCCCCCACCGTCCGTCGATACACCCTCGGTTGCAACCGACTCCGAGTGGAGGCTCGACAGGTCGCGCACAGGGCTGGCTACAAGCGGCCCACTCATGGCACCGTCCGGAAAGGTACTGCGCCCCTTTACAATTACAAAGACGCGCGAACAGGCGGCCAAGGAGGTGTTTCGACCGGGTCACAGATTGCCCACCATGTCCATCGACGAGTATCTCGAGGAGGAAGAACGCCGTGGCAACATCATCCAGGGCGGTGGCCAGGCTTCGTACGACGCTCCCACCTCGACGGAAGAGCGTGCAAGACGCATGGAAAACGACGGCACCAAGGATGCAGACGACGCAGAGGAGGAACAGCGACAAAAGGATATCCACTGGGACACCTTCACAGAGCACAACAAACGCGGGGCTGGAAACACGATGAATCGAGGCTAGAAACCTCCCGCTTCCCATGCTGGTCGGAGATCATCCATGTGAAAATGACTGCAAATGCGATAGTTGGTCTCAGACAGGCTTGTGGGTGCGCGTTTGTACGAGTGCACGAAGCTCTTGTGCCGAGGCCACCTCGCCGCGGTTGTGAAAGACGGCGGCAAACGCTTCGAGCACGGGTGCGCTGCGCGCGTCGTCGTCGCCGAGGTTCGCCGAGGTGGTGCGCAGCATCTTCCACAGCGTGTCGGTGGAGATCCAGTCCGAGTGCGAGTCGAGCAGCTGCACGAACAGCCTCAGACTCTCGCTCGACGGATGCAGCGCCGGGAAGCGTCGATGGAGCCGCGAAAAGTGCCGCAGGAAGCGCTCGAGCATGCCGGCGCGCGACGGGACCGATCTGCCGGTCCCCGACACGACGCGGACGTGCTGCGCAGCTTGCAGCAGCGTGTGGACGATGCGCTCCTGCATCCCCTCGTCCGGCTGCGTAGCCAGCAGGGTCGAAGCGTGGCGGTAGCCCTGCAGCAGTTCACCGCGCTTGATGTGGCAGCGCACCACAGCCAGACGCGCGGCCTCGCTCAGGTCGAGCAAGCCCCCCATCCCCGAAGCGCGCATAAAGTGCAGGTCCGACTTGATCAGCTCGAGCCGCCGTGTGCGCGCGTGGCAGATGATGCGCGACGACATCGTGCGCAGCGTTGGCCCGGCCACGTGGCGCACCGTGTTGATGTCGTGCCACAGTTCGGCGTCCACCATCGAACACGCGTGGACCGACGGGTCTGACTTGTCGTCAGCTTGTGTGCTGCCAATCGACACCGTGTCGGTCGCTGCATCGCTGTTCGTGAGAATGGGAGCGTTGCCGTACACCGTCATGAGCGCATCGTACATGTCCGCTGTGCGTTGCTCCGGGTCGAGCGTGCACAGCACCTCGTACGCCGTGCTCGCAGCCTTGGCGTTCTGTGCGCAGAGCAACCACATGCACTCTTCCACCACCACGGTCGATAGCACCTGCGGCAAGGGAGTGGCCTCGGTGCGCAAGCGTGAGAAGCCACCTGCAGCCCTAAGCTCATCAGCTTGGCGCCTGCCTGCACGCTTCGCAGCCAGGTCGATCTGCGCGCGTCGCTGCGCGGCACGCACCAGGCGCACCAAGCGATCATGCGCATGCGTCACGCAGAGCAGCTTGAAGACACGATTGAGCGTCTTGCGTTTGAACGCCACGCCATCGACCATGAGGTTCACCATGACGTCGGTCACCGCACACACCGCCGGGCGGGTGACAAGAACCAGAGCTGGACGAGCAGCCGGCTGGGCATCATCGTCGGCGGCGGTGTAGGCTCGATCATGGTTGACAAGGGATGACGAAATGCGAAAGTTGAGGACGAGCTGCTCGACCAAGTGACGCGACTGGGAAGGTCTGAGGCGAGCATCGCCGGCGACGACGGCTGCCTGGTGGGTCATACGGGCTGCTGTGATGTAGTCGCAGCACCGGAAGACGGCGTCTTCCTGCATGCGACGCAGCACACTCCGCATTGGACCCGAGGGAACGGCAGGATTGGCTTGCGGCATGGAGGACCACGTGAAATAAAGGTCCCAGATCCGGCGAGCATCTAGATCTTGGTGGATGCAGAATGTCATGATGTGGCAGCACACCTGCTCGCGGTCCTGCGCGCACAGATCGCCCAACTCGGCGGCGAGTGCGGGCATGGAGAACTCGCCCGAATGCGTGAGAACTCGCAGCCGAGCTTCAAACGCATCTCGTTTGGACGTTGGTAAGCTGTCGACGTAGGATGGCGGAGTCAATGTGTTGGGCCTCGATGCAGTATTATTGTCGGGAAGCTGCAATGTGGCAGCATGGTCTGCTGCGACTCGCTGCGTGGCTGGAGTGAAGAAGTTGTTGTCGGCAAGGGTCTGGAGTTCGTTGCGCACGTTGGAAGCGAGCAGTTGGGGAGGTATTGGTGGCGCAGAGCTTGGTGATTTGCCTCTATGCGAATGCCTTGTCGTATGCGCGTGTGTGTTGTATGGACGATTTGCTGCTCCAGCAGACTCGGCAGGCTGCCAGTAGCCGGCATGGGTGGCCGAAAGCTGTTCATGTCGGTAGTCGTCGAGCGCTGCCTCGAAATGAAGCTCTTCAAGCGGCACTTCGGATGCCTTGTTGCGCCCGTGCGAAGAGCAAAAGCACCGCGAAGGTCCGGCGACGCCCAGGTCCACAGATTGGTGTGGGGCGTGTGGCTGAGCAGGAGCGGCTCTGGCAGCCTTCACAGCACCACCACCGGTCGCTGTCGCCGATTTGGACTGGGTGCAGACGCTTCTCGAGAGCGGACTCGAGGAGACGGACCTCGCCTGGAGGCGCAGCGTCTGGAAGGCGGAGCTAAGGGACATGCCCGGTCATTTCTTGCTTCCATGCACCGAGACCGCCGCCGAGTGTACGCTGTTGGGTTTCGCTGCCAGTGCGAGCAGTGATGCGCACTGAGGTGTCGGAGCCAGCTTCTCCTCTGCAGCAACGTAGGTGTGCTGGAATGTGGTTGTGAGTGGTCAGAGTTGAAGGGCCATTACGGCGCGATTGTCGGGGGGTTGTTGCGGTCGAAGATCTACAACCTGGCCTGGCTTAGCCGCGAGTAGGCTGTGGCAGCTCAAAGGGATGAGGGTTTGCCAACGTGACAGAGGTGTCGATACAAGAATGTAGCTCGACGTCAAACGTGACTGCAGCCGGCTTTCTGCCACTTTGCACAGCTCACGCGCCCTTCCAAAAAGGCACACCTGGAGCCCACTTCTCGGAAATCGGGATATTTTCCACCCACCACCCGCACGAGACAAGATGGAATTTGCGAGATGGCGGATCCGAAAATTTTGCATTTGGCGCGGCGTGGACTTGCCGCAGCAGTTGCGATTCTGCGAAGGCGTGGATTTGGCCAACTGAGACGCTCGCAACCTGTACGGCTCGCCTTCTCCACCATCACTCTATCGATCGTCGTTCGACCTTTAAACTTCCTTTCAATCCACTCTTTGAGGTGATAGGTAGGCCGAACTCTTCAACGCCCTACTCGCAACAACCCCTTTCTCTCTCTCTCACCACCAACACCAACAAAACCTACAGCCAAAATGGGTGGAATGCCTCGTGCTACCAAGGAGGCTTGGTTCGACAAGCTCACCGAGCTGCTCGAGAAGTACCCCTCGATCTTCATCGTCAACATCGACAATGTCAGCTCGCAGCAGATGCACCAGATCCGTCAGTCGCTCCGCGGCAAGGGTGTTGTGCTGATGGGCAAGAACACCATGGCCCGTCGTGCTCTGCGCATGCTCGTGGGTGACAACCCCGACTACGAGCGTCTGCTGCCCCACCTCAAGGGCAACATCGGCTTCGTCTTCACCTCGGGTGACCTCAAGGATGTTCGCGACCTCATCCTGTCCAACCGTGTTGCCGCCCCCGCCCGTGCTGGTGCCTACGCTCCCGAGGACATCTTCGTCAAGGCCGGTAACACCGGTATGGAGCCCGGTAAGACCTCGTTCTTCCAGGCCCTCGGTGTCCCCACCAAGATCGCCCGTGGTACCATCGAGATCGTCTCGGACGTCAAGGTCGTCGATGCCGGCAACCGTGTCGGCACCTCGGAGGCTACGCTGCTCAACATGCTCAACATCTCGCCCTTCACGTACGGTATGACTGTTGTGCAGATCTACGACCAGGGCCAGTGCTTCGAGTCGAGCGTCCTCGACGTCTCCGAGGACGAGCTGGTGGACCGCTTTGTGCTGGGTATCAAGCAGATCGCCTGCATCTCGCTTGCGCTCAACTACCCCACCATCGCCTCGGTCATGCACTCGCTCGTCAACGGCTACAAGAACCTCATCGCCGTCTCGCTCGCCACCGACTTCGAGTTCGAGGGCTCCAAGAAGGCCAAGGAGTACCTCGCCAACCCCGAGGCTTTCGCCGCCGCTGCCCCCGTCGCTGCCGCTGCCGACTCGAGCGCCGCCGCCCCCGCCGCCAAGGAGGAGGAGGAGGAGAAGGAGGAGTCCGACGACGACATGGGCTTCGGTCTCTTCGACTAAGCGCGCAGTCCGTTGTCTCTGCCCCCACCGTCGTTGCACCAAAATTTGACCAGGCAAACGCAAGCNGACGACATGGGCTTCGGTCTCTTCGACTAAGCGCGCAGTCCGTTGTCTCTGCCCCCACCGTCGTTGCACCAAAATTTGACCAGGCAAACGCAAGCGTGCGTCCGCTGAGTCGCTGGCAGTAATGCTCTCGCATCGCTGTTTCACTCTCTCCTTTTCTGCCCCTTGGGCGTCTCAATTTGCCTCTGCGAAATGAGAATGTCTTTGCGACAGAGACTTGATTTGCGTGCATACCAATGTTTGAATCTTTGAACAACGCCGAGGGGGGAGATGGTTGAGAATTTGTTAGGATTAGTGTTGAAAAGAGGAGGACTTGAGTGAGTCCATACGTCTCTTAGGAGATTTTGAAAGCTGCCGATTCGCGGTCGAAGCATTCGCGGCACCTGACCTCTCCGTGCGCATTGACCTTTGCGCCGCTATCGAGTTTCTTGCCGCAAGTCTTGGGCTGGCTGCGATAAGACCAGACATCCTTTGCGGGAGGGGGGACACCTCTGCAGACGAGGCATGCTTTATGCCATTGAGTGCCACGAGGTCCCAGCACCGATTCGAGAGAGGACAGTTTGGTTCCGCACAAGGCACAGCACTGCATGCCACCGAGCTTGCGGTCGGTGCTGAGGGTGACAGGGTTGCCCGAGGCAGAGGAGAGGGCTGACATGCGCGAGAATATCCCTGCTGCCGGATTTACCGCCCCTCGAGGCGTTGACAGGATGGTGGACCGCGTGGGTGGGGCTGCACCTGCGGTGGGTTGGAATCGTCGAACCTCACTCGCGCCCTCGACGGCAGGTAGGACGGTTGGACGAGGGATGGGTTTATCGCGAACAGAGGTGGCAGGCGAGGGAACTGGGCTGGGTCGAAGTTCACGCTGGTGAGTTGCATGGCTTCGCCCCGCATTCGGATCCAAACTTGCCCGATAGCTCCTCTGTCCCTCAGCCTCGGCCTCCGCGCCACGCTGGACGACACGTAGCTGGACGGTAGGCGAGCAGTGTGGATGCGCATACACCTTCAAGCCGGGTGCAAGTGGTGCATACCCTTCGTCGACACGCACGAATGTCTTGGTCCCATCGATGGTGTCGGAACAAACCGCACAGCGGAAGCACTCGGCATGCAGGTGCACGTCATCCGGCAGGGTGACCATAACAGCTTGCTGCGTGGCGCGGTGCAAGGGAAGTTGCCCACACGCTGCACAGCGCACACTGCCCTCGGCCGGCTCGAGTGCATCGCCACGCGAGGGCTTCTCACCCTGCAGCGGCTCGGATCGCTCGGCGAGCGGAGAGTTGTGTGGACGCGGAAAGCCGCTCGAGGCCGTACGTCCCGACTCCACACCGATGCTCAGCGTCTGCGGGACGGAGTCAAGCGCAGGACTAGTCACCTTGCAGCTCGGCTTCTCTGCGTCTGCGCCCCCAGCGGGAGGGGTGGATGCGACGGTGCGCCAGCTAGGTCGCTTGACGGGGCTTACGCTGCGGCTGCGCGAGTCGCGTCGATGCACGCGCTCCGCATCGACGCCGAACGACGGCTGGAACGCAGCGAGGTTGAGGCCGTCGCGGAACTGCGCCGTGAGCGGGCGCGGCT